TGATGGGGGAGACACGGTCCCTGACCCCGGGGGCCCCCAGTCTGATGGGGGAGACACGGTCCCTGACCCTGGGAGCCCCCAGTCTGATGGAGGAGACATGGTCCCTGACCCTGGGGGCCCCCAGTCTGATGGAGGAGACATGGTCCCTGACCCTGGGGGCCCCCAGTCTGATAGAGGAGACACGGTCCCTGACTCTGGGGGACCCCAGTCTGATGGAGGAGACTGTCCCTCATTTCACTTCGAGAGAAAAGCTCCTCGTGGGAGGAGGCTCTCCTTTCATTCTCACTGTGATGGGAACGAGGAGACTAGGGTCCCCACTGTCTGGAAGCTCCCAGCCTAAGAGAGGCAGGGGTCACCCTCGGCCTAGACCTCCGGGCTGGTGGGGGTGTAGCCCCTTCAGTAGTCCACTTCCCTATGTTGGAAGAAGCTACAGCTCCCACGTTACAGGGTCCACCAGTCCGCAGGGAAAAGAATTTCCCTAAACTCTGCCCTGTCTTTTCAAACCTTCAGTCTGATATCCTCTTATGTGAGGGAGAAGGCACACAGCCCCCTTCAGCAGTTCTTGGTCTGGGGGAGGAGGCTTGTCTGCCCCTAGTCAGGGCATCAGTTTGATGGAAGGGGCAAGGGCCCCAGTCTGATAGAGAGACAAGGCCCCTTCCCTCAGTCTGATGGGGGAAACGTTATCTCTCTTCGGTTGACCTCCTCCAGTCTGATGGAGCAGGCAAGCCCCTGTCTGACAAGGACCCCTGCCCCCGGCGCCCTCCCGCGTACTCACGGGCCACCTGCAGCTCCGCCTCCAGCGTCTCGGTCTTGCCCTGCAGGGTGACGGTCTTGAGCGTGTAGCGGCCAGCGTCCGTGAGGTTCAGCTTCTGCACCAGCAGCGAGCAGTTGGGGAAGCCCACCTCGCGGCCTGTGTGCGCGGGGCCTGCAATCCAGTTCCCCGACGGCAGCTGGCTCAGCAGCCGGCTGGGCTCGGAGGCAGGCCCTCGGTACCAGGCATAGACCAGCAGGTCCTTGGGGTAGCCTTGCACGGTCAAGGTCACGTCCTGGCCCTCTGTCGGCTTGGTGGGCACAGGCACAATTGTCATGGCGACTGCGGCCGCTGGAGAGAGAGGGAGGGCGGGCCTGGGTCAGCCGGGCCTGCAGGGGGCCCAGCGTCCCCCACCCACTCCCCCAGCCAGCTCACCTATGCCTCGCCCGACTGGCTGGCACTCCCCTAATCGGGGTGCTAGGAAGGGGGACAGAGGAAGGGGGTGACTTGTGTGGTGGTGAACTCTGTCTCAACAGTGCCTGCCCGGAAGCTGTGTCTCCCCCATCAGACTGGGAATTCCTAGCCTTTGGGGGGGATTGTGTCTCCCATTAAAGTGAAAGACCCCAGCGGGTGGGGTCCTGTCTCCTCCATCAGACTGGAAATTCCCAAAATATAGGGGCCATGTCTCCCCTATCAGATGGGAAATTCCCGAGTATGGGTGGGGCCGTGTCTCCCCCATCAGATTGTCAGCTCTCAGACTAGGGGGGCTGTGTCTCCTCCTTGATAACTGGAGTTGTGTCCCCCAGGTCGTGTCTCTTCTGTCAGACTGAACGACCCCAGAAGGTGGGGGCTGTCAGCTCCCCAGTAAGATCGGAAGACTTGACGGTGTGGGAGGTCATGTCTCCTCCATCAGAGTAGACAGTTCCACACGGTGGGGGCCCACCTCCTCCATCAGACTGTGAGCTTCTCGATGACTGGGCTACCCCCAAAAGGTCTGTCCCATCCGACTGGCAGTTCCTAGTGAGTGGGGACCTGCACTCCCCCATCAGATTGGGAGTGCTGCAAAGGCAGACCCCAGAGGGGCCGTCTCTCCCCCATTAGGCTAGGAACTGGCCTGAAGACCACGTCTTGCCATCGGAATGGATATGCTCCCAGGTGAGGATGGTGTCTCCTCTGTCTGACGGGAAGCTGGCTGCTCGGAAGCCCATGGAGACTGAGGCACTGCCCCTTCTCTTTGACTGGCAGCTCCTCCACTAAGAAGTGCTTCCCTGTTCCAGGCCTATCCCTGCATGTCTCCTCCATCAGATCGGTGTCTCCTCCAAGTAGGGAGAAGGTGGAATCACCCTTTCCTCTGTCTCTTCCCCAGCACCCACCACAGTTAGGCCCTTGGGGCATGGCACCCCCCCATCTTACCCTGTACAGGCAGGGAGGGTAGGGGCAGCACCTGCAGTCATCTGGCCCACCCCCTGCCTCCTGCCAAGACCAGTTGCCAAGGCCCCGGCTGGGGCTGGGCAAGAGGTACACTTACCTCTGGGGACGCCATGTCAGCTTTGGGTGAAAGAGTATCCACCCTTTGGATGAGACCCAGCCTGTGAGCAGGACGGAGGGAGGGAGGGAGAGGAGGACTGTGCCCACTGTCCCCAGGGGACGCTGGCTACTTGGGAAGGAACTGAGGCAGAATTAATGAGGCCCTGATGTCCAAAGCCACCATCCCCAGGGGATGAAAAAATGCCCCCTGAGGATTCCAAGGGCTCTGAAAACACCAGCTGTGTCCTCACAACTACAGTCCCCTGGTTGCTTTGGGACACGGAGGGCCAGTCCTCACGAGCTGGGATTTTCCATCCACCAAAGAGCCTGGCTGTGATTTTCCAAGTGCGTGTGTGAGTGTGTGTGCACGCAGGCACAAACGCACATTTGCACATTGTCACCCTACCCAGGTAACTGGGTGATCTTTCAGGCTGCGCAGGTCAGCCATCTGTGCGGCAGGGTGATTGTAAGCAGCTGGTAATTGGGTTTAGAACACGGACCCCCGCACAAAGGGCTGTCTGGGTATTTTCTCATTCTGCCACCCACAAAGTGGAAAATGTGACCCACTTTGTCACCCCTCAAGGAAGAGTCTGATTTGCCATTTGGATTCCAGGTGACAAGGTTTGGGCTATCTCCTTTCATCCCCTGAATGAAGAGGGGTCCCCTGAAATGCCACTTGTCACTAGGCCTGTGCATGGTCTGTGAGTCCCCCACCCCCCTTGCCGATCACCTGTGACCTCACTGTGGGAGGAGCAGCCACCAGGCCTTCACAGTCTGAGGGGGGCTCCACAGGGAGGGGGCGGGGTCAGGGGGCTCCACAGGGAGGGGGCGGGGTCAGGGGGCTCCACAGGGAGGGGGTGGGGTCAGCCTTGGGGAAACTTACCAGAGAGCTTGACCACCACGGAAGCAGATCCAGAGAGCAGGGTTTTGGGGTTCTTCACAATACACGTGTACGTGCCCTCCTGGGCGGCCGTCATGCCAGTAATGTTGAGGTGGTCCTGGCCGTTCTGGAGGGTCCGCCCATTGAAGGTCCACACATACTCGGGCTCCGGGCAGGACCGGGACACACACCACAGGGTGAGGGATGTATTGAAGTCCACTCTGATGGTGCAGCCCGTGCGGGTGGTGGCGTCCTGGAGGATGGCCACACGTTCTGGGCCATCTATGGGGGGCAGGAGGGAGAGAAAGGGGGCAGTAGACGGAGGGGGGAGAAGTGATGGGCTCCCCGGACTTTCTCTCCACTGGAATAACTAGGCCTAGTGGAGGGAGAGAGCTCTGGCCTTTCCAGATCCCACCTGGGTTTCTAACTTGCTCTAGGACCTTGAGAATCACTTGCCCTCTAGTAGGGCAGGGAGGGGACCTCAGTTTCCTTTTCTGTAAAAAGAAAGGGTCAGGGCTGAACAAAAGTTCAATGCATTAGCAAAATCTATGACTTCATAAGCAAACAAGCAAACCAACAACAAAGGCTACGTGATTTGTTTTTGTTGTTTTTCTGATAAGCTGTACTAAGAGTCTAGATTCTAGGGCTGCAAGAGTTGATGCTTCTAGGCTCGAAGGTTCTGGAAGGTTCTAGAAAGTTGTTTCTAAGGCCTAGAATGTGGTAGTGTGGAGGTTCTAGAATCAGGTCATGCCAAGGACCCTCAGAGCCCAGAACCCGAGGCTTCTGGAATCTAGAACAGTACAGTGACGAGAGTCTAAGTCCTACGTTTTTCTACATCATTGGCCCTCGGGTACCTCCGAGGTTTATTTTCCCACGGCTCCACACTGTCTGCGGCCCCCGGGAATGACTTGACGTTTCGGTTATATTTTAAATTTCATCCTCCCCTTCCCCCACCACCTCCTTCCAGACCCAGGCTTCCTGTGACCCCTCCCTGCAGGCATTGCTTCCGAGGGAGCGTTAATGGCCTTCCACTTGGTGGGATACTGGTCATGCGTGGTCATCGGTTCTCAGGAGAAGGACCAAAGGGCATTTCAAGAGGGATCTCTCTCAGGTAGAAAGTTTGTCTCCTAGGTGCTCAAGTTCAGTGGCATTAATTCCATACACAGCATGCACTGTGACTTACTGGGTACCCCCAGGCCCCCTCTCCTGGCCTTGGTTTCCCCCTCTCCCAGCCTCAGTCCCCTCATCTATGAGGTCTGGGCCCCAGGTCTCTTTGGCAGGGCCAGGACTCACAGTACACGGTCAGGTTGACGGGCTCACTGCGGCTGACACTGACCGGGTTCCAGACCTCACACTGGTAGGCCCCCGCCTCCTCCCTCCGGATGCCATGCCGGGTGAGGACCCGGCCGTCGGGGGACAGGCCCAGGCGGATGGCCACAGGCAGGGCCTGGCCATTGAAGAACCAGCGGGCGTTGGCAGGGCTGGGGCTGCTGCACAGAAGACGAAGGGTGTCTCGGTGTTCCACCAGCGCCATGCTGTTGTTGGCCATGACCACCGGCGGGGCCAGGATCTCTGTGGGGGCAAGAGACAGAGGGGGAGGGGGCCAGGCACCCCCTGCTCCGAGGCCTCCCCTTCCCCAGGCAAGGGGCATGACTGGCTCTCGGTGATGTCCCTATACTCCCAGCAGAGAATGAGTTAAGAGACAGGTGTAATCCTGGAAGGCACCCTGGAGGAGATGAGCATTTTAATGTTCTTTCAAAAATAGGTTTTTTTTTTTTTTTTGTCATTTCAAAAATAGTTTTAAAATTTGCTTTTTTTTTTTAAAGTTAGGATTGGGAGGGAAGTAGACAGGCCTGACAGGGGAGGAGGGGAGTGTGTGTGGGGTGTCTCACCATAGACCTGTACGTGGCCGTAGCCCACCTCGGTCTGAAACTGCCTGTTGAGAGTCTGCAGGATGTAGGTGCCCGAGTGCCTGGGCAGGGCACCGTGGATGTCCAAGCTGCCGTCGGGGCGCACAGACTCCCGCCCCGTGTGGACCGGGCCAGGGGTCTCGTCGCCTGTGCTCACAATGTAGCTGGCCAGCAGGTAGGTCAGGCTGAGCGAAGGCCCCGCGTACCAGTTGTAGGCGAGCAGCTCCCCCGAGAGACCGCGGACGACCAGGGTGAGGTTGTCCCCCTCGGCCGGCTGGGCCGGCTCTGGGGTGATGGTGATGTCAGCCCTGGTGCTCAGGAACACCACTGGAGAAGGGGAGCCGGAAGAGTCAGGTGGAGAGGAGGCCTGGGCTCTGAGGAAGGGCTCCCCGGCCCGGCGTCCTCACCGTGTGTGAGGATCTGAACTTGCAGTCCTTGGACTCCCAGCATCTTAACCACTTTATTACCGAGGTAAAATATATTGTCGTGTGCCATCAATTCATTCCAACTCATAGCAACCTTGTAGGACAGAGTAGAACTGCCCTATAAGGTTTTCTTGCCTAGAATCTTTATGGGAGCAGATTTCCAGGTCTTTGCTCCCGAGGGGCTGCCAGTGGGTTCAAACTGCCGACCTTTCGCTGAGCACCCAACCGCTTAACCATTGTGCCACCTGGGCTCTTGGTAAAATATATATCATATAAAATTTGCCATCTTAACCATTTTTAGGTGCACAGTTCAGCGGCATTAAGCCTACTGCAATCACCATTATTCCCTAGACTTTTCCGTCCCCCGTGACAGAAACTCTGTGCCCATAAGTAGAGCACTTATTCTGTCTTGGAGCTGTTGTACTTGGCTCGGGGTAAATGGCGTCATCTCTCGTGACTGCTGTTTCCTCAGCTGGGGTGGTGGGGGTAAGAGGTGATAACACTACCTACCTCCTGGGGTGTTTGTCAGGGTTTGATACATGTAAGGAGCTTTGAGGGGTGACTGGCATACAGCAAGTGGTCAATCAGTGTTAGCCAGGCCCAGAGTCTCAGTCCTGGGAAGGGGTGAAGCTGTGAGGTCCCCTCACAGCTGATGTTCCAGGCCAAGGATCTAGCCTTAACACCTTGCACGTAGCAAATGCTCAGCTAATGGGACTTTTCCTTTTACCTGGGAACCATGTGAGGGTCACAAAGTCCCATGACATCAGAACTGGCTTGTCCAGTCCAGCTAACTTTACAGTCCCATGTGAGACGTTACTGCCTGCCCCTGGGTCCTGACTCCCAGTCCAATGCTCTCCCCCTGCCTCTCTGGGTGCAAACAGCACAAAGTAGAGCTAAGACCAATACACTCCACCCCTTTTCTTAGCCTCAGAGAAGCCCGAACCTGAGGAGCTGGTCAGTGTTGCTCGGTTTGGACTTTGTGGGGTTGTCTGCAGTGTGTGGCTGTGGCAGTTCTCATGTAGGAAGTGCTTATATGCCTGGCCTGGTTTCTGGTACTTTCCAGCCTGGTGCAGCGTGACCAGGAGTGTGGGCTTTGGGTCTGGTCCTCGGCCCTGCCACTTCCTGGTGGTGTGACCCTGACCAGTGACTTCAGCTCTCAGAATAAACCTCAGTCTGTGAAATGGGGTGTTAGAAAGGGCCCTTCCCTGTAAGTTGTTAAAATATGGAGAGAACTTAGAACAGTTCTAGGGGCACCAAAACCCAAAACGAAACCCACTGCCAGGGAGTTGATTCTGACTCACAGCAACCCTATGGGACAGAGTGGAACTGCCCTACAGGGTTTCCAACGCTGTCTATCTTTATGGAAGCAAAGCCCAAACCAAACTCACTGCCGTGGAGTAGATTCTGACTCACAGCGCCCCTAGAGGACAGAGTGGAACTGCCCCACAGGGTTTCCAAGGCTGTCAATCTTTACAGAAGCAGACTGCCTCATCTTTCTCACCTGCACAGGGGCCGGTGAGTTGGAACTGTTGAGCATTTGGTTAGCAGCTGGGTGCTTTAACCACTACACCATGCATGCTGGTTGCAATGACCTCAGAAGGACTTCATGAGTTAAGCCCATGTCATAGACAAGGAAACAGAGGCCAAGAAGGGAAGGCAATCACCCCAAACCCCCCCTAGTCCAGGTTTCTGGAACTGGTGCTCAGGAAAGGTTGACCAGAGAGTGAAGGAGAACGGTGCTCTGTGGCTCTAGCTCACACTCTGGTCTTAGGAATCTTCAAAGGCTCCCCTGCACATCTCTCTGAGTAGCTGTCCCTGGCCCCATACTGCTGCTTCTCTCCCCAGCAAGCTGGGACCCGGCTCACAGCTTCCCTTCCCCTAGCTGGGGCTCCCTTCCCCACCCCAAGGCCAGAGGGGGCCCGGGTGCTAGGGGCCACCTTCTCGCTCACCACTGAGGAGGAGCCAGCTGTGCGAGGTCGGCACCATCTTTCACCCCAAACCTGGGTCTTGAGTCGTGTTGGCGGCCAGGTGCTCTGAGGCCCTTCCTGGTTGGGGCCTGGCTCCGTCTGGCGCGGGCCCTAGGAGGGTTCGGTGATTTGGAGCTGGGGGAGATCACCTGAATTTGGAGGGATCGAGTCACCAAGGATCTGGGGCCCCGTTTGGGCACCAGGGCGGGTGTGGCAGGCACAGGCCAGGGGGCATGACCTGGTCAGGCCTCCTGGGGCGGCTGCCTAACCTTCTTTGTGCCAAGAGCCCAGATTTGGTACCGGGAGAAGAACCGGGTTGGCAGGACAGGGGGCGGCGGGGGAAGGGACGCAGCTCTTACCCATGGCCAGGCCCTGGCCTCACTGGCGAGCTTGGACGTCACCAAGGAATAAAACAGGCAAATGGTGACTGCCACGTCCCTGGCCTCAATGCTGCAGGTGACCTGCAGGTGTCCTTTCAGGGGGTGACAGAATAATAAAGTGGGCCCTGTTAGAACCCCCATTTGCAGATGGGGAAACTGAGACATCAAGCAGGGACTCTGACTTGCCCAAGTCTTGCAAGGAAAGGGGATTTGAACCCTGCTCTGTTTCCACATCCAGTCAGTGCCCTGAGGGAAAGAAGCCGGGGTGCTGCATGCTTTCCTGGGGCTCTGCTTCTTGGTGGGTTCCCCGCAAAGCCCTGATAAATGGACTCACTTCCCCTTGTGAGGCCTCCTTTTCCCCATCTGCCCCATGGGTGTATGTGGAAGCTTTCAGGAAGAGACCTGAGTTTCATCCTTGGCTCTGAACTTGCCCACTTTGGCCATCGCATTGGGGCTGGAGACAGTCCCTGGCTCACTGTCCTCCAAGTACCACTCTGCAAAAGGGGGGTGGTGCGGGCCCGCTGAAAGCAGTTAAGGAGACTGGGAACAGTTAGGGGATGCCCGTATGTCAGGGACGTAGCCAGGACCTGGCGGAGTTGGGCCCCAAACGGGTCTCATTGATGTTACTGTTATTTAAACGAAGTTCCACCGCACCCCCCCCATGATCCCGGGCAAGTTGTGGAACCCACTGGGCCTCAGTTTCCACGTCTGTAAAATGGGGGTGCTAGGCACTTGACTGCTAACCAGAAGGCTGGCGGTTCAAACCCACCAGCCACTCCTCAAAGGGAGGTTGGACAAGCTACTTCTGTAGTGATACCGCCTCGGGGTCGCTATGAGTCAGGTCCGACTCAATGGCAAACAACAACAAAAATAGCACCCACTTCATAGAGCTTAGCATACAACAGTGCTCAGTAAATCACCCATTCGTTCCTTTGACAAATACTGAGCACCTACTGTGTGCCATTGCCAGGCGCCATGGCAACCACTGCTCACATCTTCCAGCAGTTCTAGGAAGTGGGTACTGTCCTTTTTTTTTTTTTTCTTCTTTAATTTTTTATTGTGATTTGGGTGAAAGTTTACAGAGCAAATTCATTTTCCATACAGTGGTTCATATACATTTTGTCTCGTGACATTGACTACCATTCCCCACAGTATAACAGCTCTCTTCCCACTTCCTCCCCATAGTTACCTCTTTCCTGGGTCCTTCCCCAGGCACCCCTGCCCCCACCCCCAGCTGTCTCCCTGTGCAACACTGCCCTTCTGTTCTCCCAAGTTGATGTTCAAAGGAATGTATCTATCTGATGTCAATGTTCACCCCAGATGCCTGGCAGTTGTTTGTCTGGAAGCCACAGGAATGAGTTCAGTTCCAGGCCTGAAGGGGAACTAGGGGCCATAGTCTCAGGGTCTCACCAGGCTCTGTCAGACCAGCATACCTGGTCTTTTTATGATTTTGAGTTTTGTTCCACATTCTTCTCCCACTCTAGCCAGGATCTGCTGCACTGATCCCTTAAGTGGATACTATTCTTATTCCCCTTTAACAGATGAGGAAGCTGAGGTCCAGAATGGTGGAGGTGAGCAATGGTGCTGGGGATACAGCTGTGGACAAGACAGAATTCCTGCCCGTGGGGCTGACATTACAGGGTAAACAGAAACATAAAACCTTTTCCCTGTTGGATAGAGATCAGCGCTGTTGGGAGAAAATAAAGCCAGAGAGGGGCACTGGGGTTGCGAACAGGAGGGGGATGTGGAGACGGTAACGTTGGACAGAGACCACGGGCAGATGGAGGGGAGAGGGCCTGGGACAGATGTGGTGGTGTTATGGTTATCTTGAGGCGTCTGCTCCTCCCAGTGCTTCCTGGCAGGGGCCATACCTTTGGCTCACCTGGCCTGGTTTCCTCCGGCTCTGTGTCCAGGGCTGCCCTCAGAGGGCAGGGCTGAGTGGGTGAGCGGGAAGAGGAGGAAAGAATGAGGTGGGAGGGTGCAGGTGAAGCCAGGTGACCTGGCGCCTCCCACTCCCCCCACCCTCGACCTCACCTCACCCTCACCTTCTCCCCCAAGGCTCCGTGTCCCAGTGTCATTCAGGATGCGGTCCCCGGGTGTCCCTGGGCGCCTCTCATTCACCTTGTCCCAAACTAACCTCCGAATCTTCCCCAAGGTCCGCCCCGCCTCCTGGGCCTTGAATGGAGGAAGGCGCCACCCTGTCACCAGGACAGAGTGACCTGTGCCTCATCCCTGGAGGCTCCTCCCCGCGCTCCCCCAGCACGCCACATCCTAGGACTCCTGCCTCTTAACTCTTTTGTACTTATCTTTTTCTCTCTCCCTGGGCCCCTGCCCTTGTCCAGGCCCTGGCTGCCCCGTCCCCACTTCCTGGTCGCTGGCCCTGGTCTTGCAGCTTTCCGTTCTGTCTCCGCAAGGTGGCCAGAGGGTCTGCCTAAAGCACAAACCTGCCTCCGCTTCTCCTCCGCTGTGAACATGCCTTGGCTCCCCATTGCCCTCAGAGAGAGCCCAGCTCCCCCCACCAGTCCAAAGGCCCCTCACAGCCTGGCCCCTGCCCACTTGACTGTTGTTATGTGCCGTCGAGTCGGACCCGACCCATAGCGACCCTTCCTTGCGTTTCTGAGGCAGTATCACTATGGAAGTAGATTGCCCCATCTTCCTTCCGAGGACTGGTGGTGGGTTTGAACTGCCAGCCTTCTGGTGAGCAGTTAGCCTTAGGCACTATGCTGCCAGAGCTCTTTTTTTTCTTTAATTAGGATTTGGGTGAAGATTTACAGAGTAAATTCACTTTTCATACAGCAGTTCACATA